GGGTCTGTGTCCCACACACCCACCGTGGTGGTAGAGGTGAGGCGGCGGGATAAGATGGGGCACTGGTCTGTGGCAGTGACGATCAGGGTGTAGCGGCCGTGGCTGATCTCGTAGTCCAGCTCTTTGGCAGTACTGATGACACCCTAGGGGACACATGGAAGGGACAAGGATGGATCTAAGGGTGGTAGGTCTGGGGCACCCTCTGACCAATTTGGGAAGTAGGCCCTGACATTGGAGCCATGATGAGGAACCACTGCTACCCCCTAGCCCAGGTTGCACTCTACCAAACTTTTCATCCTCCCGCACTGAGTGCCCCCACACTTTCCCCTAGACTGCATCTTTGCTCCACCCCCCTACAGTGTCACTGAACTCCTTGCCAGTCCCTGGAGAGGTTTCGCCCCTTGTCCTGATCCTGCCATCAGCTGCTGACCATGTGTCTGTCGATGCGGAAGGTGTTGATGATGTTGCCTGCGACGATGGCATAGGTGACTGTGCCGTTGGGACCCTCATCCAGGTCCAGTGCCTGGATGGTGATGAGGCTGGTGTTGAGCGTGTCTGGGCCCTCATCCAGCAGCACCTCATAGTGGGGCTGCTGGAACACGGGCGCGTTATCATTCTCATCCACAATGGTCACGTACACATGCGTGGTGGCCTGTGGAAAAGAATGGGTCAGGTCCTTGGTCAGGTAGCCCGAGGGACTGAGGTGGATCCAGATGGCTGGGCTGAACTCAATGTGACTCACACAGATTGGGCAAGGGAGAAGAAAGCAGGGGGGAAGTCACAGGCTGACGGAGAAAGAAAGCTCAAAAGCTCCACCAAAGGCAAAGCAAGGTAACTGCTCTGTCCTAGATGGCACTTGCACCACCACTTCTATGTCTGTGACCCCCCAGCAGACATCATTAATCAATCACAAAACTGCTGAGGCCAGATGCAAACTTGGGATCCTTGTCAGCACAGTGCTCTAGTGATTAAGACTGGCATATGGGATGAACCCTGGTAGTCAACCCAGCTCAGAGCTTTACCAGGGCCTGTGTCTTATTGAGCCTAGGTGTCCTGCCAGATTACAAGAGGTAAGAATGTGAGACACTCGACCCAATGCCCTATTTAAGCTTCATCTCATGTAAGTGAAAGAAATACATATTTTCAGCATTTTCAGAAGGAGGACATTGGGTTTGTGGCAATTTCATGGGCAGAATTTGTCGACCTGTGAAAAATAAGACTCACAGAACATAACTTCATTACAAGAACAGCTTCTACAACATACCCTCCTGTGATCTACCATCTCTGCCAATGCTTGGGTCAACTGGACCACAAATAATATTCAGCTAATCAGAACTCAGCAATCGGCACTCAAGAATCAACTAGAAATGGTTCTTGCTCCCGCTGCCTGCCTTTCTCCACCTGGGAAGATGTCCCTTGTGGACTGACTGCCTTACCCTGGCTCTCTTGCTATCCAGCTTCCTGCTGGGCGTGGCCAATGGGAGGCCCTGGCAGAGGATGAAAGCAACAGGGAGAAAGAGGCGGGGGTGTTTCTTCCACACTCCCTCCATTCCCCACTGCGGTTCTGCCCATGGCTGTGTTTCTCCTGCTTGGAGACAGGGGTCCCCCTTTTATAGCACCAGTTTTCACTGGGCTCCAGAACATCACTTCCTCTTCTTTCCCTTTGGACTCATGAGTGGTAGTGGCTTCCTGTGGTTGGTGATAGTCTCTGGGTGCTTCACCAGCCTTCCTAAACAGTCCCTGTTTTACAGTCTCTTCAGCTGAACCCTTTCTGAGTGTGCCATCTGTTTCCTGCAAGGACCCTAACTAATACAAACCATAATGAGTGACTAAAATAAAACAATAAGGTGTTAATCACTGCAAAGGTGTCTGGGTAGAGAGAATGTGACTAGGCCCTTGCCAGGCCATTGCCAGGCCAGAGAACAGAAAGCAGGTGGTACAGACAACTCAGTGTAGGCAATTTACATATGGTTTTTTCCTTGGGACTGGCTGGCTCTGGAGCTACCAATGGAAGGATGGACAGATGGGCAGGGGATCTGGACCCAAGAAGGCTGTCACTGTCCTTGAGGAAGCAATGATTCCTCTGAGATGCAGCTCTAGATCATGGGGGTGGAGGGTATTGGGTGTTTGTTGAAATGGTTTCCAAAGCAGGTAGGGTTGGCAGCCTTGAAAAGGAGCTGTGTGGCCTTGGGCAGGTCACATCCCCTCTCTGGACCTTTTCTGTCTGTTTAATAAAGGACCTGCCTTGATTTCTAAAGTTGTTTCTAGCTCAGATGTTCTGGGTTTCTGGTCTGCTGTCATCAGCTAAGTGGACTAAAGTCCACCATTAGGGAGGCATTCCTTTGGGTTGCAGGGTCTCAACGAATCTTAAAATAACAAGCATGCAATGGGGGAAAATGCATTATTTTAACATTTCTCAAACTTTTCCACCAGAGTGGAGAGGGAACTTGCACAGTCTGAGGACTGGCCTAAATGATTTGTCTCCAGAATGAAATATCTTTGCAATCTCTCATGTTCTCTTCGAAAGCTCTTGTGGATTTTACATCCTTCTCTATCATTGTTCCTGCTTGTTTTCCTTAAAAATAGTGGTGGAGGCCCCAAATATTCAAATAAAGATGACTGTCAAGGAAAGCCACCATGTCCATCTTGTGGCTCTGCAGGACCTGCAGGCAGCTGTGAGTACTCACTACTGGTGAGGGGCCCAGCCTCGAACCCTCCTGAGTCCCCTTACCTGCCGCCAAGAGTACAAGAGCACCACCTTGCAGGAAAGGGGCTGAATTCCAGCCTCCCTGTTGGGGAGGGAATGCTGACATTTCCCACTTTCCCAAACTCACCTCCCAAATTCTCTGGAAGTGGGTCTAACCACTGTGTAGGCTGCAGGGGAGGGGAGTGAAGAGTTTGAACAGAGTTGTGCCTTGGAGCCCCTCCTGCTCTGAGAGCAGGTCTGGGCTTGAGAAGGGAAGGTGGGTTTGATTCCTCTGGTCTCTGGGGGGAGGAGAAAGTCAGTGCTCCAAAGGCTCTCTAAGCTGAGCCCTTCCTGTCCTGTCCTGGTGTGGAGGAAACAGTGCTTGAGGTTTCTGGACCATGGTCCTTGGGCAATACCTGTCTCACCCTGATGCAACCCCAGGAGGCTCAGTGGTGGGCAGTGTGGCGGGGAGAAAGGAAGTGAAAAGGGGGAAGGAACTGGGCCCAGCTCAGAGGCTCTAGCCCCCTGCAGAAGGGTTTGGTAGGGCAATTGCTCCCCTTTCTCTAATTCCAGGCTCTCCCCAGCTGCTAGGCCCCGGGGCAGAGGGAGTCTGGTTTCAAGGGTGTCCTGAGCAAGGCCAGTCCAGGAAGGGTTGAGATGGGGTGGTGCTCTAGGGTCTTGCCCTTAAGGGACCACCCTCACTTTTGCCAGAGGATGTCAGGGTGAGAATGGCCCAGTGTCCACCTGATCTCAGTTGGCTTTGTACCTCCCCTGGTGGAAGGGAGCTCATGCTGTGCCAGCAGGAAGGGCCCTGGGCTGCCTCCCGAAGTGGGGTCACAAGGCCAGGAGCATGCCCAAGGACCTGGGTTATGTCCTGGCAGCCTCTGAAGCTCCCATCCTGGGGGAGTTCCCTGGCTCCATGGGGACTGGGCCTGCACAAGGTCACTTAGTAATAGCATGATGCCTCAGCTTTCGTCTGTTGTAGCCTTTCCTGCCCTGAGAGCAAGGGCTAAGGGCCTCCAGAGAGCCCATGACTTGGATCAGGTCACCCACAAGGCCCCGGAACTCCTGGCTCCCATTCAGTCCTGTTACCCTGGTTCCTCACCCAGTCAGACTTTGGGTGTCCTCTGCCCCTCAGCCTAGGAGTCACCTATGAACCCAAGATCCCTAAAGGGCCAGAAAAACCCCTGGAAGCTTCAGCTAGACTGGGGTAAACTGAGTAAAACGGCTGTGCTCTTCCACTCCTTTGATCCCTGGCCACGATCACCTCAGCTCCTCCATCACATAATCACTCACTCATGCATCGGTTTGTCCATTCAGATAAAAGTGCAATAAACACCTTCTCCATGCCCAGCTTTGGACTCGGAAACATCAGGGAGAGGTTTGTAGTTTAGCTCTGGAAGGCAGAAGAGCCGGAAGAAGAACCAACTGCTTGGTTATCTCAGGCAGGAGGTGGTAGCTGAAGGGAGTGTGGACAGTAAGGATTTGCGGGGGGAAAAGGAAGGGTCAGGACATTTTGTGAAGTGGGAGGACTTGAGCTGAGCCCTGAGGGATGAGAACAATTTGGAGAGGAGAGGAGAGACATTCCAGTGGTGCCAGCAGTGCTGGGTGTGGGTGCAAGAGCAGAGGCACTAGAAGTTAGGGTGCATCAGAGTGTCCTGCAGATATCCAGGCACCAGGGAGGGAGGGCCGGTGCACAGCCGGGCTGACAGCTGAGGCCTCTGCCGGAGGGGGCTTGCAGGATATGCTGTGGGGCACGCCAACAGGTGTTGCCTGCATACCTGTCTGTGTCCCGGGGTGGGGATGTGCTGATCCTGGCGTGCAGTCCTACATCTGTTCTGTGTGTGCGTGTGTGTGTGTGTGTGTGTGTGCATGCACTCAGGGTGCCTTAGGCTCTGAATCTACAGTTAAACTGGTTCCAGCTTGCCTAGCTCTTCACAATGTTAGATTTCATTCATTCACTCATTCACTCACTCATTCCACAACTGGGAGTGCCTACCACATACCAAGCCCTGGTCTGGCTGGATGATGTAAGGTACGAGTCTCTGTTCCCAGACCACTCAAAGGCTGGTGGCTGAGGGGCAGATGCAAGCCATGGTAACGTCTGTCACGCTGTTAGAGGTAGATCTACTTCTTAGGCTGCGCAGCAATAATAATCTTCTCTCCAAAGGACTGGGGGACTGTAGAACGGGCTTTAAACTGCCGATCAAGTAGAGTTGACTCGCTGGGACGCACACTGGCTCCCCACCCACGGGGCCGGTCTCCGGGAAGCCCCTCCCCTGAGAGGCAGTTCCCCCACACGCCCCGCCGGGGGCGCTGCGCGACGGGGGCGGGTGCCTGGAGCGCGGCGCTGGGGCCGCCCGCTGTGCTCACTCGCTCGCACTCGCTCGCACTCACTCGCGGGAGGCTTCCCCGCGCCGGCGGCGTCCCGCCCGCTCCCCGGCACCAGAAGTTCCTCTGCACGTCTAACGGCGACATGGGCGTCCCCACGGCCCCGGAGGCCGGCTGCTGGCGCTGGGGATCCCTGCTCTTCGCCCTCTTCCTGGCTGCGTCCCTAGGTAAGGTCCGGGGAGGCGGGGCGCTGGGGAAGAGCTGGGAGAAGACAGCAGACTGGAGTGGGAACTGTGGGATGGGGGCGTCCTGGGAGCCCTCTCAGCCTGTGTGACCGTGCACCCCACTCCACCCACCGCCCGGAGGCTGCTGGGACCACTGGGCAGGGTGCAGTGGCGACTGTGCCAAGTGTCCCAGATAGGCATCAGGCACATCTGCATGCTCTGATAGCTGCCCAAGTGGCAGGCAGGGCTGTGCCCTGAGGGCTGCCCAGAGAGCCCCAGGCACAGGTAGCTTCTGCAGAGAAGGAGAGGCACAGGGTGGGGGTGGTCAGTGTGTTCTGGTGGATGTCACCGGCTTTTGACAGCTGGCATCTTTTTGCTCCTCTAGTCTCAGGGCTCTAGTGCTGCAGAGGACACAGAGGGCGTGGTATGCTCTGCCCTGGTGAAACCCCTGGCTGAGCCTTGGTGGGCACTGGTCACGGTGGGCCCACTTTCAGACACAGAGGCAACACTGCCCACCTGGTCCCGATTCTAAGGGTCTGATAGCCCAGGAATAAGTGGTCAGCTGATTCCTGCCATCCTAGCAAGGCTGCCACTCAGGGACCAGTGTGGGGTACTGGGGAGGATGTAGGACACTCTCCAGCTCAGCCACGAGCCCCTTCTAGGTCCCTGGATAACTTAGGGCATCTCTCTGGTCTCAGTTTCCTCAGCTCAAACACAGAAGCCCACACAGGGAAACACCACTTTCCCCTTCCAAAGTCCAGACTGTCAGCATGTTCAGACAGTATCCTAGCCTGAATACAGGGGTTCCTGGGCTGGGGGCAGAGGCCCTGGTACCCATGGCTTGGTTGCCTGGTTCTTGCCTGCCCAGAGCTGAAGAGGCTGGATCTCTTCAAAGAGTCTGTGGAACCAAACTTTATGGGGAGGGCCCAGGGAAAGTATGAGTCATGCAGGGACTCGGAGGGAGGCAGGAGGGAGGTGGAGGGCTTGGCAGAGGGACCCAATGGGCGGGATGGAACAGAAGGAGAGGGTGACGGGATAAGAGGGAGAGGAGGAGGCTGAACCTGGAAGATACCTCAGCAACCTGGGTGCCCACAGGCTTCCGTCTATCTCAGCACTTGGAGGGTGGCTTGGGCCTCTGAGGAGGAGGAGGGCTCCACATGTCACAGACACAGCTGCCTAAGCCCCAGGGTGGATGCTCCTCAAGGCGACAGTCAGAGGGAACAGGAGAACGGGAGGTGGAGTGGACAGTCTCAGCACCAAGGCCACAGCTTACGGCAGGGCATGGCTTCCACAAGGAACAGGGGACGGTGGCAGGCAGGCAAGTCAGCATCCCACCTGTCATGGGCCACCTGCCCTGCCCTGCCCTGTCTTCCCAGGTGACGCTGTGAGACCCTTCCTGCTTTCTTGCCCACTTCCTGCCCTCACTTGGCTGGGCTGCCCTCTGTTCAGCAGCCCCATTTGAGAAACAGCTCTAGAGATCCAGGGCACAGGGACCCAGCTTGCAGAGCACCCAGTAGCAGAGAGGCCCCAAGAGGAGCTCGGGACGCCTTCCCCTGTATTGCTTATATGGCCATGGGGCCTTTACTCCCAGAGGTCTTGGCTACTCAAACAACATGGTACACCAAAGAGCCATCTCTTCCTGGGCCCAGCACAGGGAGATGATTTAGGCTGGCTGCAGCTTTCCACTGAAAGGAGTCAGAAGCATTTGAATTGCTCTAGGACCTCAGTATTCTGAACTGTGACATGGACACACTATAATAGATATTCACCCAACTCCCCAGGACAGTGTGCACTGAGGGGCTAGCAGATGGGAGGCCTGGTTGCAGGCGTGGTCAGCAGGATCTGTAAGTTGCGAAGGTTGATCACCAGCCTGCCGAGGTGCTGGGTTGCCCTGGGTATGTTGCCCAAGGTCAAAGCCTTTATGCCAGGGAAGGTGAGATAGAGTGTCCGGCACCAGCCTGTTCTGCAGCTCTTGGGTTTGGGCCAGCACTGAGGAGAATGGTAGTAATGAATGTGGTATTCGGAAGCCCTGGAAACACCAGAGATACTCCTTTCCTGGGCCTGACTTAGGGTGAGATGGATGGAGAGGTACACTTGGGACCAGGACCCAGCAGATCTCAAGGGTGGCAGAGCCTCTTCTTCCCCACAGATATTCCCAGGACCTGAGGCAGTTACTGTCCTTGCCCTGTCCTCATGGGTTGACTCAGGAGTCCCAACCTCTGGGATGAGCACATTTAAGTTCATAGAAGTGCACTGGGGTTAGGGACGAGAGACCCCATCTTCCTCTTCACAGCAAACCAGGCTGCAGGGCCTTGTTGAGTAACCCAGTGCTGCAAGCCTCTGACGCGGCAATGGTCAGCTCTTAGGAAATCCACAACCCACTGCCCAGAGGCTCTGGAGTAGAGAGGAACAGCCTCGAGGCCAGTCCCTTGCATGAGGGGGCATCTACCCAATGCCAGGGACACCCAAGGGCCAGCAATACTGGGAGCCCCTTGCTGAGCTGTACTGGTTGTTCGTGTTTCCTCCCAAGCAGGGCAAAGGTTCTGCTGAGGTCTGACCTTCCTGGGAGAGGGTGATCCAGGCAGGAGTGTGCTGCTGAGATGCTAAAGGGGCCACCTCCCTATCCGCACACAGTGTTTGTGGCCTTAGGCCTGAGCGGATGAAAGGAAGAAAGAGATCCTCAATGACGACCCATTGGCATACCAAGTATTGAGGTATCAAGCCCCACATACCAAGCTCGAGGCCCCAGGCTTTAGCCAACCAATGATCCAGGGTCAGTCCGGTCTCCCAGGGGAGGGTGGGCCAGGGATCAGCACTGTGGCTTCCAGTGGCCCCATAGATACCCTTAGCAGCAGTCCCGGCACGCCTGTGTATGGCAAAGCCAGGGGCTTGCATGCCAGGGCTTCCGTACAACCCCTTGCTTAACTCTTGGGCTTTGCGAGTCACTCAGACCTAGGCTCAAATCCCAAGATGGCCATTTACTGCTCTGTGATATTGGACAAGTTATTCAGTATCCCTGAGCAGGTTCCCCTACCTCTAAAATGGGGATGATGATAACACTTCCCTTGGAGGGCTACAGTGAAGAGCCAATGAACGAACACTTAACACAGCACGCGGCTGCTTGTGAATACTGTGTAATGTTATGGGATTTCTTGGCTTCTGCAGGCCACATGCCACTGGTTTTCCATCTAAGGTCCTTGCTCTCTACAGGGCCTTATGGAGTGCCCAGGGCCTGGGAACGCATTGGTGAGCTTCACAGGGACTAGATTCTCCAAAACCTGGAGTGTGAAGGGTGCATGGGCTGCATCCAGTTACCTGTGAGCCCCGATGGGTCCTCACAGTCTGAAATGCCCACGGAGGTGCCTGCAGGTTCTCCTCTTAAAGTTATCTGGAGATGGGGATATTGAAGGCAAGCCTGGTCCTGGGTTTGCTTATCTTGGTGGGATCTTTCTTACATTTGATTCTTTTACATTCAGTCCATTCACTTTGGCTGGCTATCCCCAAAGACAAAGACAGTGGCCACCATCTTGCTCATCAATTAGTAATCCAGTAATGAGGTTGCTCTGCTACTTACCAAGCCAAGCAAGCCCATTCCTTTAGCCTTTCTGCATAGGATCTTATTTCCCATGGGGACCTGGGGTCAAACCCTGCCTTTGCTGTTCACTCATCATGGGAACACAAACACACACTTCCCCTTTGCACAATGGACAGGTTGGGTGACATGGTCTCAGTGAGGCTGACCACCCTCCTCTGAAGGGTAATTCCACACCGGTGTTTCCCTAGCTGCAGTCATTTGCTTATCACCTTTGTGATCTCTGCAGTGTCTGCCCTTTCATAATATTTAGTTATTTTTTCTTTAAATCTACTCATTCTTTTATTTGCGTATGTAGATTTTTAAAAGGAAACTTTTTATCGCTGTCATTAGTGGAAAGCCAGTATCACTTGTCATAAATAGAACAAAACCATAAAAGTACGTAACAGGAAAACCATATAAGGGTATTAAATTCTAGTTGGAAACTTTAGCCTGGGAAGGCTCTGAGTCTGAAAACTGCTGTTTTCCCTTGCGAAAAATTAAAATAAAATAAAATTTTAAAAGAAAAGGAGATTAGCAAGTGAGAGAGAGATGTTTTAGAGACATATTAGCATCAAACTGGGCCTTTCTCTTTGATGTAATCAGGACTGAAATAATTGAAAAGGGAATAACCTCTTCTATATATGATTCAATGTTATTTAATGTAAAACCAAAAGTAAAACTATGTGGTAGACGTGGCCAGGCAAGCTGGGCTTTCATTGGTCATGACATTTGTCCGTCTTCAGGAAGGAGGTGGGGCCTCCAGTCAGTCCCCAGCTACCTCTAGTCTCTAGAGAGTAGTCAGATGGCACCAGACCTCCAGAGGCTGACTACCTGGGTTCAGATCCCGGCATCATCACTTATTAGTTGTAAGGCTGTGGGCAGGATACTAATCTCTCTGTGCTTCCGTTTTCTCATCTGTAGAATGGAGATGATACCAGTACCTACCTCATAGGGTGGAAGGATTACATAAACTAATCCATGTAAAAGTGTTTAGAATGAGGCAGGGCACGGTGGCTCATGCCTGTAATCCCAGCACTTTGGGAGGCTGAGGTGGGAGGATCACTTGAAGCCAGGAGACCAGCCTGGACAACATAACTAGACCCCACTGCTATGAAAAATTTAAAAATTAGCTGGGCATAGTGGCATGTGGCTGTAGTCCTAGCTACTTGGGAGGCAGGGGTGGGAGGATAGCTTGAGCCCACAAGTTTGAGGTTACCGTGGGCTATGATCTCGTTGTCACTGCATTCCAGCCTGAGTGAAGAGCAAGACCCTAGCTCTCTAAAGAAAACCTACCAAACAGCCAGGCACAGTGGCTCACGCCTATAATCCCAGCACGTGGGGAGGATGAGGTAGGTGGATCACATGAGGTCAGGAGTTCAAGACCAGCCTGGCCAACATGGTGAAACCTCGTCTGTATTAAAAATACAAA